TGTGTTCAGGTAGAGCAGCCTGCTGGCTTATGGTCACACTATTGATTTTTAACAGAACAAACCCCCCATCTAGTGAATGAAGGGAAAAAAGAGAGTGAGGAAGATGGGAAATTATTTTTTTTGCATTTACTTTATTGGTTTGGGGGTGCTAGAGCATCACATGGAAATAGGATAAATGAAACAGTACAATTTTGTGATTGGAAAAAGAGTGAGGAGGAGATATGTCAAAAGGACTTAAAGAAGGGAGTGTCAAAGATCAACCCTGTGAGTTGCATCTGGCCGATAGAGCCATGTCATCTGGTTGGTAAGTTGAATGGCTGCTATGTTACTTACTGTCGCTCCCAGAACAATTAATGTTACTGCTGCTTGTCCCAGATTTCTGGCCCTTCAGGCCACATCCAAAGCATGGGTCTGTGGTGTTCAGTCTGTGGGGTTGCCTGCAAGGCCAGAAATTGGGCAGTAGGAAAAGGGGTAGGGAGGCTTATGCTACCTATCCAGCCCTATGATTTTGACATCCCTGACCTAAAAGATATTAATGGGCAGTGATGTAGTTTCATAGCTATATCCTATTTATCCTCCCAATAATGATGACAAGCAAGGCAGTATTATCAATACCCCATGGTGAACAGGGGAAGTAGAAGTTACGTCGCTTGTGCTAGGTCACAAGGGAGCCCATGGCAGAACACGGGGTTGAAACCCCAAGCTCCCAGGTTCAAGGTTGGTGCCTGAGCTGCAAGGCCTGCCTTTTTTTCAAGGGGTAACAACAGTCAATGGATTTAGAAACACAAATCCCAGGAAGCACTTCTGAAAACCTTCCCTGCAAGCTATAAATATATGGAAGGCACCCTGCAGCTCCATACATATGAATAAGAAAAAATTCAGTCTGTATGATACAGTAACAGGCTCCGCCCCCTACTTTTGGCACCATATAGGTCGAGGTGAGCAAAATACGGCCTGCGGGCCAGATCCAGCATGTAAGGGCATTCTATCCGGCCCACAGGGTCCCTAAAAAATTTAGAAAATTAATATTTCTGTCTCTTTGGTTCCTGTAAAAAATGACAGAAACCAGGGGCAGTAGGACCCAGGGGAAGCCCAACGGCTGCTGTTGCCCTCCCAGAGCTTGCGCGCTGGGAAGCCTAGAGCCGACAGTGGCAAACACTGCCCGGTGTGGCAAGCGGCGGGGGCCGCAGCTGCTGCCACCACAAAGCAGCCCCAATGGGCAAGCCTGGAGCTGGCTCAGGGCCCAGTCTGGCAGCGGGGGCAGGCTACAAGCTGGTGCAGGGCACAGTGGGGAAAAGTGGCCCCTCATCCACCCCATAGCAGGTGCCCCACACTGCAGCCGCTTGTAGCCCATCTGGGGATGCCTGTGCCTGTTCAAAACAAAATAAGGGCAGGGGGTACATGGCAGGATGCTCTGCTTATGCCCTGTGCCCCCCAGCCCTGCTGCCCCTGCTCCCCAGCCCAGGCTCTGTAGCTGTCAGCAGCTATCCAGAACCTGGGCCAGTTGCAAACATCTGCTATGCCTCTACCCCAGCCCCTGCCTGTGCCTGCTAGGGACAACCCCACGTGGGCTGCAAGTGGCTGCAGCAGGGAGCGCTGGTCATTGGTCGGGAGGGGCCGCTGTTCCCCGCACCAGCTCATTCCTTGCTGCAGAGCACCAGCTCATTCCTTGCTGCAGAGCATGGGTTTGGGGCAGTGTACTGCCCCCTGCCTGTACCACAGGGCTGAGGGGGCACTGGGAGTGAGCAGGTGCATGGGGCCCACACCAGTGTCCTGGGGCCCAGAGCAGGGCAGCAGGGGTACAGGGTCCCCGCTGACAGGGCTCTATTGAGCCTGGCCAGCTCCCCCCTCTCCCTGCTGGTGCAGCCCAACCTGGCTCCACAGACCCCTCCCAGCCTGTGCCCCACTCTGGGCCCCACTGGCGCTGGTCCTGAAACATTGGTTCCAAGATGGTGACCAGGGGGACAGGGTACCTGTCAAGGTGTGGCCCTCAACAGCTTGCCAAAACTGGATGAATGGCCCTCCACCCAAAATAATTGCCCGCCCCTGATATAGGTTGTCTCCATGGCCCAGCATGGTGCCAAAACAGTTGTCGCCACTCATGGTGGGGTTCTGTGTTAGAATTTATTGGTAAGAGGCAGGGTAGTAGGATGTTTTGATGGATATTTTATTTTTTATTGTGATTGGGTTATAGTAAAAGGGGGCTGGGATGTCGGATATTGGGATATTGTGATTGGCTCATGTAGCTACATGTTTCCTAAATGTTTGTGACTAAACTAGTTGCTGCAGTGACAGGCACTGTAGGAGAGAAGTAAAACTCATGTATGTAGTTTGATTTTATTTGGAAAAAAAAAATTAAAATATATATGTTTCCAGATTTCCTTTAAGGAGTCTGTGCAGGGTAGAGCCAAACAGCTGTCTGGAAGATTTCTGTGTTTATTCTGTCACAATCCTCATTATCTTCCCTTTTTTTCAGGGTGTGTGAATACATCAGCACTCTGGAGCACACACATTTCAGGGATGCCACATCCCAGCCCCCTTTTACTATAACCCAATCCCAGCATGCCACAGGAGGGCTACAGCCAGATTATCAGTCTGCAAGTTCTTCCCAGGACCTGACACCTGAGCAGGAGACTACCCTCAGCAACAACCCCATCATCCAGCCTGTCTCCATCCAGGAACTCATCAAGGAGCGTAGCAAGGGCAGACCTTTTGATTTCCGTGGTGGCAGCCTGCTGAGTGGAAGCAGTGCTGCCAAGGCTGTCCTCACCCTTTCCACACAAGCTGACAGGTATGGCAGTGCCAGATAAATTCTCTCAGTTGATCCCTCCTATGGAGTAAGCAGCACATACTGCCAGTTATGGACTTAGTAAAAAATTTGAGCTAGTTGATTGGCAGCATCACTGTAAATGAGGTGGGGCTGAGAGTTCTATTACAACATCCTGTTTTCATGCACTCGTAGAATCCTTTAAAAAAAATAAAAACCTCCTTTCTGATAACATTTTACAAACTTGATCTCTGTCTTTACAGAAATATGTATTCTTGCATGCTACATGAAACTTTTTCACCCAAGATCAGTCCCCCATAATTGTGGTGTATGTATTAAGCAGGGAAGCTTATTTTTCTGCCTAAGATTGAAGCACCCTGCTTTAATTCCAGCTACATAGTGCAGCAGCTGTGGCATTACTATTCAAGCAGCTGAGGGTGTCAGTGGACTAAATAGCTCATTGTTCTTTACTCCACAGGTATTGACTATCATCTCTCCTTTTTAATGGTCTTGATATTCCACTAATTAAAATAACCTCTCTTAATATGGCAGGACAGTATTGCTGTTTGCTAGGTTTTCCTGGTCTCTCAACTTGTATTTCACAGCTTTAGAGACTCTTTAGCTCTTTTCAAATCATAGATGCACCCATGGAGACCAGACTTCAGGAGCAGCTAGGGTTTCAGCTTTAATTGAGCAGGACACGGGGGGTGAGTCAGCTGAAGATTAGGCTTTGTCCTGTTCTATTCAGCATTAACTCTGGAAAAAAAATCTTTTTTCTTCATTCTACCTTTCCAAATCAAGGTACAGATTATGTTCTGGGGTATGTTGTATGCAAGCAACTATAGTATTTTTGTGAAGTATAAGCAAAACAGTTACTTTCTGAGTAGTGTTTGAGGGAGTGGTTCTTGGCAAGCACAGTACGATATTTTTCAGTAAGTTGAGAATTGCAGTACTGTACAGAACACAGCATTATAATAAAAATACTTTATCACTCTTTGAATGGGGAGAGAGCAATGGATGCAGTTATGTCAAAAACAAAGCTTTTGACACTGTCTCCCATGATAGTCATATAAACAACTAAGGAAATACAGGTTAATGAAAGAATTGAAAGGTGGATACATTACTGGTTGGATCATTATGCTCACTGACTAGTCGTTAATGCCCAGTGTCTAGTTGGGAGGAGGTATCTACTGAGGTTCCCCAAGGGTCTCTGCTGGGTTCTACTGGGTATTGTTTAACATAATTAATGCATTGGACAAGCTGAGCAAATTTGTGGATGACACCAGGTTGAGTGGAGTTGCTGATACTCTGAAGAGCAGAATGAAATAGACTAGAGAAATAGGTGAAATCGACTAGATGAAATTCAACAATCGCAAAGTCCTGCACATGGGATGGAGTAACTGCATGCATAAATGCAGACTGGGGAATCACTGGCTAGGCTGCAGAACTGCAGAGAAGTACCTGGAGATTGTGGGGGGGGGGGGGGGGGGGGGGCCGGGCCCAGAAGCTGAATATAGCCCAACCATGTGCTCTTGTTGCAAAAAAACAAACAAACCCTAGACCATACTGGGTTGTATTAACAGGAGTGTCACTTACAAATCAAGGGAGGTGATTCTTCTGCTTTTCTTGTCTCTGTTGAGGCCTCACCTGGAGTCCTGTGTCCAGTTTTGAGTCCCACACTTCAAGAAGGGTGTGGACAGTTTGCAAAAAGTCCAGCAGAGATTTGCAGAAGTCATTAGAGGTTTAGGAAGCAAGATTTATGAGGAAAAGCTGAAAGAACTTGGGTGAGTTAGTATGGAGAAGTGAAAAAATAAGAGAGGATTTTATAAGTTCTCAAATACTTGAAGGGTGATTCTAACAAGGATGGGGATAGTCTTTTTTCTGTGGCTGTAGGAGACAGGACAAGGAATAATAGGCTCAAACTGCAGCAGAGGAAATTTTAATTTGAAGATTAGGATTAACTTTCTGACTATGAGGGTGGCCAAGCACTGGAACAGACTGCCTAGAGAAGCTGTGAAATCTCTGTCCTTGGATTTTTTTTCAGTAGCAGGTCGGACACACACTTGGCTGGAATGGTTCCTCATAAGATCCTTTTCAGCCCTGCTTTGCTATGATCACAATATGATTTTTGTAAAATTACTTCCCTGAAAACACAATCTCTCAAGTTAATTGGAGATTTTCTATGGTTACACGGGAGTAGGATCGTAGATCAGAGGGTTGGAAGGAACCTGACAGGTCATCTAGTCCAACCACCTGCAGAGTTGCTGAATTTGTATATTTTGATTTGTATCTTGATCTGGGATCCAGGTCTACTTGTATAAGCTTTTGAGTATGTAGTAATGGAATTTCACAGCATAGATTATCATAGTAATTTTTTTCCTTAAAAGTAAATGATAAATGAATAATCTCGTTAATGTAAGTTTTGGTATAAAATGTTATGGTTTATGATTTGAAACTAAGGTTCCTGCTACAGATTACACATATGATACAATTAACTGGTTAATTGTGCAATAAATTTAGGTTGATCATATGTGCAAAGTAATTATCACATGACAAAAATGACTAGCTATAAAAAAAAGACCTATGCAACTAACAAGTTGCTTGAAAATGTGTAACTCCATAACTGGTTTCTGTCCAGCTTTAATTTGAATGTATAGCAGAACTCTAAGTTCAGAAAATACAAGAGCTCAGTGAAGTGGTGGAAGCAAATTCCAGCTGAAATTTTTACTACCTTTCTAAACAGAGAACTATTCAGATGCCTAATTTTAGGCACTCTGTTTGGAAACTTTAGGTCATGGTTTCTCATAGTAAGATTAATTCACTTGTCCTGACATAGATTAATTAAACTGTAGCAAACTCCAACAGGCAAATAATATAGATAAAATGGTTTTACACATGTACAAACCTTAAATTCTGAAAGATGACATTCTCTGCACTCTTGCTTACAGGCTATTTGAAGATGCTGCTGACAAGCTAAATCTTATGGCACTGGGAGGCTTCCTTTACCAGCTCAAGAAAGCTTCTCAGTCCCAGCTCTTCCACTTAGTCACAGACACGGTTGATTACTCCTTAGCAATGCCAGGTAAATCTACTAAGTAAATCTGCTTAAGTATTCATCTTTTTTTATATGTTTTCTGTGTATCTTACAAAAGTTGTTCTTTCTTCATTCTGCAGTAGTATGCCCAGAAGAGACAGTTCAGTGGCAAGAGAAAAATAGAGAGCTCTGTCTAGTAAGACAGAGGGAATGTGGAGCTTTTCTCTCCCTCTGTGATATGGCATCAAGCATATCAGGGCCTTAAACCTGAGTTGAAATGCTTCAGGCTTATTTAGTATGAATAAGGATAGGTATAAATGTTCTTTAAGATTCCAAATCAGTCCCTAAAGAGGTCAAATATAAGGACAACCTAGATAATGGTTATAGGGGGCCGAGTGGATATAAACATATGCTGTACATGACCATGAGCTATGAATTCACTGTAGCAGACTTGGCAGCAACAAGAGGGTGTAAGATAAAGCAAGGTTTCTCTTTCTCAGAGTGCCATATCTCTGTCTAAGGCATAAAAGCCTATGCTACAGGCTTTTGACGCTCCCTTAGGGCTTCCAAAATATGGCAAAAAGGTCCAATCCAAAGGGAGGCTTAATACTATATTCAATTAATATTACATTAGACCCTCCCTTGAGTAGCACTCAGGCTTAGTGCTGTGCAGCTGCACTGTGGTGAATTTAATTCCTAGCAGAATATCCATAATTCACATGTTTTTTCCCCACAGATGCTATTTTGTGTTTTTCTAATATAACACTCAAACTCTTTCTCTTCAGTTTTCTTGTACATATTATCTTTTTGTACCTTGACAACATTTATGACTTTATGGACTCCTTGTGTGATTGTAGGTGGTACTCAATCAACAATAACTAGTTATAAGCGGTGGCATGATTAAAATTAGCACTGTGCGCATGATTGCTTAAACATTTGTTATTAATTTTAAGACAGTACTCCTAATTATGTGAGTTATGAAAGGTAAAAAGTATTGTCATGTTTTTGAAAAAGACAGGGTCTGAATGTCCTGTGTGTTAGGAGGAGTGGAAGATGAAACTTGGCAATAGCATGGTTTTCCTATTGCTGCCATGTCAGGAAACCCATTAGCCAGAGAGAAAGAGGTTATGTTCTCAAATTCCCTTTTTTCAAGCTCTTCATCTTGATATAGATAATTACAAAGAGACAGAATAAAGAATCTGCAGTTTCATGGTTGTTAGAAGCTGGAAGGGATCTTACAGATCATCAGGTCCAGCCTCCCTGCACTTGGGCAGGAAAGACTGTGTACTTCATGTAAATGTCATCACAGTTTTCTGAAGTTGTCATCTTGTACTGATTTGGAAGCAAACCTATCAAAACTGAATAACATTATTATTAATTTATAACTTTTATACCCCCCCAGGTCTTTTGCCCCTTAAAAATCTGTTGAAGCTACTACAATGGTTGAACTAATAATACACAAGTTTTCCTAAACAATTTGCAGAGCTTCTGCAGCATAGCATCTTTCCCTTTTCTGCTCCTATGCTTTTTACTAATACAGACTACTCTCCCTCTTGTATTTCTTTCTCAACTTGTCTTGGTAACATGAGCATGCACTGAAATTCATTTGATTTTTTTGACTGGATTTGAATTCTGGATTCAAATTTCAATCCAAACACCTACAGAAAAATCACTGCCATCACTTAATTCCCATTAATTATTGTAATCACATGTTCATGTGCATGTTCTTAATGCATCTCATTTGTCTTGCAGGTGAAGTAAAGTCTACCCAAGACAGGAGAAGTGCACTCCACTTGTTCCGACTTGGGGACACCATGCTTAGGATTGTACGGAGTAAATCCCGCCCACTGCTCCACTTCATGCGCTGCTGGAGCATAGTGGCACCTCATCTGGTAGAGGTGAGAGAGAGGGCAAGAGGCACCTTTTGGAACACACTGCTTTAAGATTATTAGAAAGGCATGTTACTTAGATTCAGAAATGTTTGATATTTAAAAAGGATTGAATACAGACTCATAGGGTGGAACAGGATAGCATTCAAAATGTCATTCTGTTATTCCTTATCATCCAGCAAAATCTAGTCAGGAAGAAATGCTCCTCTCTCTTCTTAACAGTACACCATTGCACAGCCACTGGTAAGTGCATTACATTCACTGGGAGACAGGATTTTAGGGGCCAGCCATTAATCTGTTGCAGCCCATAGAAATTGGTCTCACCTACAGTTATTAGAAACTTCATCCTTACTGGCATTAAGCTAAATTAAATACTCACCCAGCCTCTTCCTTTGTAGACTAATACCTTTTGTATTTTAGTTGTTTGTTTTTAATGTATAAGGGAAAAAACCCATTGCAACATGAACTGCTTCCTCCAACAGCAAATTTAGAAAACCCTTAAAAAATAATTAACTTGTATTCTCCTCTCCTGTTTGTTAGAAAGAAGCATGTTCAACTATAGACTCCCTGGTGGCTCAGATACAGTAAATGGAGGCCCCAGTAGCACAATGTGATATCAAAATGCATGGATTCTAAGGAACCATGCAACAAACTGAAAGATCTCTCTAGGAAAGACGTGCATCACTCTGGTGTTCTACAAGTGTATTTACATTCTGAGTAGTGATGCAAAATTTAACAGTGCATTTGCTGCAAATCTGCTCAAGAAGTAGGGTAAATTACCCTGTGTTGAGATCCGCATTGCCTTGGCTGGGATGCGGCTGGTATTTCAACTACCTAGTTTAAAGGTAGCTTGGGTAGCTGTGCATTACCCAACAGTTAGTGCAGTATAGATGCACCCTGCAAAAGGGAAACAAAGACCTATGCTCTACTTGGATCACACTTGAAA